TATATATATATATATATATATATGTATATATAGATTAATGGTCCTATGAAGAAAGGGTATTTCTCTTAAGATTTCCAAGAGTTGACCAATTTCAAGTTTCAGATATGTAATATTAAAATGTTTTTTGTTTTTGTTTTTTATTGAGTATGTAAAAATAAACCTTGCACTGGGAGAGTTCTTTATCTGTAAAGTGCCAGTTAAAGAGTTACAGTGTTTTTGTTGTCAAAAGACTTAAACTGATTTTCAGCACTTTTAAGTTAGTGAATTGTAATATATAAACAGACAATTAAAAAAACTCTGAATGTTAATGTGTAGTTATTTTAATAGTTCATCCAAATACTGAAGTATAAATAGATATATAAATATAGATAGTGAAGCTAATATATTTGCAATATGATAAATCCTTATAAAAACAATAACGACACAATTAATTGCATGCAATAAATAATAATAAGGAATCCTCAATAACTGCAACTGTAATTAGATCTCAAATTGGTCAAAAGATGGAGCTATGAACTAAAAGTTATGTAAGCTAAAAATTATGTAAAACGTTTAGTACAAAAAATTCAGTGCACAAAACAAACATACAACTACATCACTGAAAATATCAATTTGTCTTACTTCTCCTTATAATTTATAAAACAGTCAAAAGATGCCAATTGCTTTTGAATTATTCACACACCCTGTTTCAAAGAATTATATATCTTAGAAATATTTATATTTTGTAACAGTAAGTGACTTAAAAATAATCATGGCTCAATGAGAGAGAGACATAGTGGTTAGTATACTGTGCTACAAATCAGAAGGTTCAACATTCATGCTGCAATACTGCTGAACATACTCTGCACTTCCAACTGTATGTATGTTATAAGAGTGACAGTCAGTTCCATTTTTTGGTTCAAAACTGAACAAAGCCCTTGTGGAGGTTGGTACTGCTAAATAGCTGCCTTGTCTTTAGTCTGTAATTCAAAAATATGGACAGCTATATCTGAACCCTAGAGGTTTCTGACCTGGCCAGTTAACCCAAGTATACCTAAAGCATCATTCAGGTTGAAAACACCAATACAAAAATGTTTATATATAGGTCTTGCAATGGTAACTGATTTAGCAAGAATCCTGAATTGCAATAGTAGCTGTATAAGCAAAATATATGTATTTTAATAGTAACTAAGTGCCCAATCTCACGATTTCGCATCTGTCAAGTTCTTAAGATTGATATTATATGTCAAAGTCAATTAAGGTCAAAATAAGTGAATTTCCTATTTCAGAGGTGGATATATTGTGTAAATATCAATGATTAACCTACTTTGTTTCTTAAAATCACATATTTTGCCAAAGGTCAAGTTAACTAATAGCAAATGGTCTGCCTTGTCTCAAACCTGATATAGTATTAAAATTCAAAACTGATATTTTAGTTCATGAACATGTTTTTTTTTATGTTAAAGATAAATAACTAAAAATAATTACTAATATGATTTGAACTCAAACTAGTGGACCATATGAGAGGGGTTTTGTAAATCATAACATACAAGAAAGAAAGTTGTATAATCCAAGAACAAAAACTGATTCTTAATTAGTTGAAACTTTTGACAGATAATTGCTTCTTTTTCTTTCATAAACTTTTATAAAAGTAAAGTAAACAGTGACATTTATCAATGATTCCAGTATCTTAACTCTTTATGGTACCATTTTATTAATTAGTTGTTTGAACTTGTGTTTTACTTGTTATAGGAGGACACTTCTGGAGATTACAAGCGAATCCTGGTTGCACTTGTAGGAGGAGCCTAACTGCTATGGCCAACTCTTTATGAAACATGCAACACAGATAATTTACCTACGTTCTTAAAACTTTGTTTTTTTACTTTGTTATCCTAAATGTATGGAACCTGAGAGTATCACTTTTATTTATAATGTTTCTAATATTTCAAAGTTTGTTTTATGTATGTAAACTTGTTTGTTTATTTTCTGCCAAATGTTTTTGTAAGAATTTTGAATTAAGCATTCATTATATTTTAATATTTGGAGACTTTGGAAACAAAAAAAATCCTAGTAACAAATAGAACAGTAGAGGGGAGAATGAAGCTGGTAGCATATAAATTTCAAAAAAGTAATTTTATTCATCACTAGTAATACTGTATAGAAATTATATAATATAGTTACAAATCAGAATCCATCCACTTCATGAAAACAGTTTAAGTTGTTTAGCTAGTGTTAGTTGTGATATTACATCACAGTAAAGCTCATAATAGTCTTAATCATCCCTCTTTACTGGCTCCAGTACAAGTTTCCAGCAAAAAAAAAGTATATAATAACATTTTTTCAACAGAGTTATGACACTTTATCCATTGCATATGATACTGCTGATGAAACCTTTCATTCAGTACAAGAACTTATCAGGTTGGCTGGGTTACATACAGCTTTTAAATGTTAGTTGAAATACTGTATATATATCAGTTGTTTTAACAAAGACTTCATCTCTGCAATCCAGCCATTCTGATGAGCTCTGATATTGATAAAAGACAGATAATTTGTAATTGAAATTATATATACATACTTTTCTTACTGAAAAACCATATCAGATAATAAATGTAACAGCCCATTTATTATCTTTCTTATTGTGATATAGTATTATACTGATCATTAATTACAAATCACACTTAAATAGCTTAGGTTATTATTTAGCTGTTTAAAATTTTTTTGTTTAAGATTGGAAATATTTTGTGATCAGTAATACATGGTTTGATGACCTTGAGGTTTCAATTGTCAATTTATTGTTGAAAACAAATATGAGTGTTCTGTTCACCACGTGTGTTGATAAAGAGAAACAAGGATTTGAAACATTCTGACTTGTTCTAGTGGAAATTATAGCATGTACTGAGTCTACAGTACATCAGAAAATATCAGTTATGCATTTGTAGGTAGTTTCTGAGTTCTTTGAGGGACTTTTTTTCTAGCCTTGAACTCAGCCTTTTGGATAGATTAGTTCACCACTGGTCAGAATGTTAGCAAAACTCAGATAAGACTGTGCATCAGTCACTGAGCTTTTCTTCATTAAGTGTGTTTGATTGAGTCCAATGTTGGTCCATCCAGACTCAACTGCCTATCCCTGAGTCTAGTCATTCCAAGGAATGGTCTGCTTGAGATGTTTAAAGAAGTCCAGATCTTCTTTAGCTGTATCCTTGAATATTGAAGAAAATATCTGCATCACTTTGCTGATAGGGATCTGTAGCTGCAGAAACATGATATCTTCAATGTGATTTTTCCAACAAGTGGATGAGACACGTGTGATGTCAAGAGTACAGGTTGTTATTCATTGTTCAGGAACTTTACATTCAGGCAAGTGTACAGTTACTGATTCTGGGTGACAGAACTATGAGTTGTCGTAGGGAAATCATCTCCCAACTCTGTGAAGCCTTAAGTTTATACACAACTCCTAGTGTTCTAACAGCATGCTTCTCCTTGTGGACCTATCATTTAGTTCATCAGTCTCATTCATCACCTAGGAAGCTAATACTTTGCTTGCAGGATAGAAATACTCTGGTCATCATCCATATTACAATTGGAGGTGGTAAAAATTTTAGCTAATCTTGTAGCAGGATGGAAGTTTGGAAAGAATTGGGATGAAGTATTATTAAGTTTCTTTCCATTTCATAGATTTAATCCTATGCTTAAATCTTGGCTCCTGACTTATCACAAGATAAATAGGTTAGTGCTTCCCATCACTATTTTCACTCAGATAAGGACAGTTTGAGTATATCCTTACCACTTACTTTATGATCACCAACTTGAATTTGTGTAGTTTTGCAATATGTTTGCTAGACACCTTTAATTATATTAAGATGGAGGATTATTATTGAGAAAAAGAGTAGAAAGACTCCAGGGTAGGGTGAAAAGCCTACAAAAGACCTTGATGGGCTAGCTAGTTCTTAAGCATTGCAAGTTGGCTCAGGCAAGAGAAGTCATTATAAATCGTTGGTGAAAGAATAAAAAAGATATATGGGTTCTCTGAAAGATTTATAACAACCTAATAACCTGCTAGAGTTCCTAAGTGTAAGTAGTTTACCTTTCTTATCTTGAACTCATAAGTATTAATTTATATTTGTATTCTGTCATTTCTTGTGTGTGTGTGCATCTATATTCAAGCATTTAGTAATGATCTTACTAACGACTGTTATAGGAATATTGATTTAAAAGATTGTATCATATACATTCCTTGATTCTAATGTGTTATTTACATTTTCATATCCTAATATTGTTCCTGCTTTGTTTAACCTTTACTAATATTATTGTAAAGTGTTATGATATGCTGTATTTTTGCTCATACAAGTAAATATGCATTATTGGAAATAATTATGGAAATACACATATGATGTATAAACAGGAATTTGAAACAATAATTAATTGCAACTAAATGGTCAATTTATCAAAAGTACAAAACATGATTACAGAAATGACAAAAGAATGGCAGATAAGTTGTACAATGCACTTGTATATTGTATTTTCTTCAAACAGAGCAATACACTGTTTTATGCTACTTTAAGTTTATTAATGTATGTTTATAAAATATTGTTCCAAATGTCCTGTATTACTCCTCATAATTCAGCCATGTTGTTTGACCTTTTCAGTATCCATTAGCTTATGCAGCCTTAGCAGCATTCATATCTGGACTCTGTGCAGATCAAGGCATGGTTGGGATGTTCTGCCAGTCACTTTTATCTCCCAGGTATCCATTCACCACGTTAGGTGCTTGCTTAGGATATTTTTTTCCAGTTGGAATGTGGATAACTGTGCAATAGGTCATGTTCCTGAGGGAATGACATGATGGGTAAAAGTCTACTTTTACCTGTCAGTAGTCAGGGCATGATAAATTATTTTGTAGTCTCCAACACCATTGGTTGAGATGCAACCCACATTTGTATTTGTTTCCCATCATATTTCACTGAAGATGTTGTATGTTGACTGTCATACCATTCACTATGCCATTTAACAAACTATTATTGTTTGTTGCCAACTAATTTGACTTTGGATGGATACATCAGTAAAGAGTACCATCCTACAGCTTTGCTAATAACATTGTTTGAAGCCTGGTGCTCATTTCAGTATTTCGATTTGGTTATATATTCTAAGCAATAGTTTTTGAGCAGCTACCCTGAATGTCATAAACTAGTTATCAAGCAGCCCATTTTGGTGCAAAATGACTTGTTTATTGTGGAGTTTATTTTCAATGTTTTTCTTTTCTAATTGACTCTCTGTTACTATAACATTTGTAAGTCATTATGAAGGAAGATAACTTCTTGAAACTGTGTAGAACTTACAGCAAAGAGGAGGAAGTGAGAACTCAATCCAAACATATGGAAAGAACTAGGATAAGCACTTTCTTAGACTTTGGGATTTTGCCAGTAATGGTCAAATATTTCTGTGCTCTAATTTTGTCATCAAGACTGTAAGGTTGATGGGTGCTTAGCTGTGGAATCCAGTGCATCATTGACATGACTTATAATGGTTAATTCCCATGATCTGGAGAACAGGGCAGCTGAGAAGGTTCATAGTTGCATAGAACAACCTGAACATCCCAAGGGTTACTTTAGTAATGTCTATGGGGCATCAAGACACTCATTAATAAGCCCAGGTGTTGGAAACTTCTGGTTTAAGTTGCCTGTGGCCAGGGAGAATGGTGTGATGTTTATGTTGAATGATATTCAGCATGAAATTCTGCAATGCCATAAGGCAAAGCAGCTAGTATCTCACTGTGATCCAGTGGGACTTGGAGTTTGTCAACAAGAGCTTTCCTGACCAGCAAGACACACTGACAATGCCCTAAGCCATGCCTGGTAGCTGTAGTTAATGTATAATGTGACAATGCTGTCTGTCTCTATGCATCACATCATTATGGTGACATGTATTCCTATGTGTCATCTCATTCTGCACAAGTCTTTGCCAAAGATGAGGGCCTGTGCTGAATACACACAATCTCTCAACCACATGAGGTAGAAAAGCAGGTAGCAGGTTTCTGTCAGCAGTTTGTTGCTTGGAATAGATAAACTCAGGGACTAGCAGTGCAATGCGTGATGTTGAGCTTAGATGACACCCTGCTTGATGCCTTAGTGCACTTGGACGAGGAGCAACTCAATAATTGTGACACAGCTGTAAATAAGCTATGTTACAGATTTAATCCTGTTTAGAATAGAGCAATCCATAAGGCTTAGTTCAAAAAGGTGAGGGCCACTGAAAACGTAGCTATATATGAGCATGATTTAAGGAGATTGTATAGGAGACAATGCACAGTTTTTATTATTATGATAAAACACAAACACAGTATATGTACTTACTGTTATAGTTACCCTGGATGATCAAGCACTGGTAATGGCTCTTTCTTAATATTACTCGGTTGAAATCCTGTATACGACTGTTTAAATGAAGACAAAGCTCCAGACTGACTAAATCCAAGATTTCTTGGTTCACAAGAAACCTTGCATTTACCCAGATTGGCATGTTCTACCCACATGACTGGTGTTTTCATTACAACATAGGTGGGGACATAACTTCTAGACATCACCTGAACAATTGTTGAAGGACACTGCTGTCAAAAATCATTAAACAATGTGTCATACTAAGCAATGTTTTCCCTGGTTGGTAACAGATGTAACATACTTTCGAGAACAACTGTAGTATGGGAGTGTACTATATGCTTTCTACACCTTTAATTAAAAAATAAATATTTTAAATTATGTTGTTTTTCATAGTTCCCAAGATGAACACAGAAAGGCACTCAAATGTGTTACTAACTTCCACTTCCTCTATGTGTCTAGTGCATTTCTACGTGAAGGCCAAAGCCTGCTTATCTGGTTCTTTTACAGGAATAAAAACATTGTTTTCAGTTAGTGAGCTGAGCCATTTTTGTTGGTGAATCAGGTAATAGTTGCAAATGGAATCATCCATGGTTTTCACTGCCAT